TCTTTACACAGATCCATTCTTTCGATTCTTTTTATACTTGATCACGAATGATATATGACTTGTGTATTAAATCTGTAAATGGCTTTGTGCATGTATATGTGTTCTACATTTTGATTTTGGCATTAGTTAGGTCGTAGTGAAATGGTGAAGTCAATGGGTTATTGTTTCATTGACGGAGTTGTGATACTAGATTCATGTTTTACGAGGATTCTTTTAGGTTAATCCAGGACTTGTTCGGATTTAAATTCAGTGGAGTTTGTATGCACCTAGACAATAGGTTAAATGATATATGAATACTAGCATCTAGGAATATCTAATGTATATCTTTTCTCGCCACGAAGTTTTTTTTTTTTTCAACTAAAATGCTTTGTTTTTCGTAATGATCTTTGATATGCGTTAAATCGACTCCCACACGAACTGTCCTCTATTTCGAGCTCCACTGACCAGCAATACACTAGGGATAGGTCCCCGACGAAAAACTTCTGACACTGAAGTCATTACTCGCTTGTGGGAAAATATGTAAAAGGTAGCCATACATGGGTAAATATGCGTTAGTTTTAGAGTATAACTCACCATTTATATAATTGGTGTCTTGTTGCCCAAATAGAGTGTTAGGGAAACGATTTCAACGTGTCTACTTTCCTATATCACGTTTTTAAAATCTGAGATTCAATAATAAGATACACTTTTTACCTTAAACGATTTTGTCCCCTCTTACCACACGACACTCAAGTCATTAGGTCCTCTGGGCGACCCCACAACCTACCTACCACGGGTTGTAATCAGGTCATAATCATGACCGCTACCTCAACGATCTTCTGGTCATGAGATCCGCTCGGTTGTTCAGGCTCCTGAAGGAGCTTGACCTCCGAGTCTTCTTAACAGGCCGACCTGAGTTGTCTAAGCGAGCTCCTTGATAAGGTCGAGCACTGAAATCGAGCTAAAGCTCTCCCAGACCGATCGAACCCACCCTTATGCTGACTTACCAAGCTAGTCTAGGTGTATATCATCTAGGCTCCCCCATTCATGAACGAGCTACCAGGACTTGTGCAAAAATCATTCATTGCACCCAACTTGTTCTTTCAGCCTTAAATGGAATTAATTTGTCGACCTAGGGAGTTTCGCTTGTTAGAAACGTTTCAAAATCGTAAAGCGTCTTTTGTTGTGGATCTTCGATATCTCACCAAATCAACACATGTTGTGAGCTGAGCTTTTACTATAAATACCATCCATCTCCCTTGGTCAATCCAGACCATTGAGACAATGCATGATCCAACTGTTAGTGTGTATACTTAAAGCTTGACTTTTAACGTAATAACCACTATTTTCATGTTGAATGAGAATCATATTTAATTAAAATGTCTTACGTTATAATGTTTTACATTTGGGTATTAAGGTTTATTATGGATAGACAGAAGATCACATGTTGGTTACTTGTAAAACATAAATAATTAGGTTCACAATTTAGTTGGAAATGAATGACCTATCATGAATGGTTGGAATGGCAATTGTACAGTCTGTCTTGACAAGTTGATAGCACTAGTACGCTCCATATATTGAACAAATTCCAGAGAGGATAAATTTGTTTTATGCTGATTAAGTAAACAAACTAGACCTCAGTTAATTACTGCGTGATCTCAACCCATAAGATATGTTAGGATATACTGTAAGAGCTCGGCTTTTACTTTCTGGAAATTCCATTTTGATCTGGCACACATGTTTTAGTCAAGTATTTATGTTTGCAAGTTTATTTATTGCAAGCATAATTCCTTTTATTTTACATTATAGATAGTATGGTTCGATGTGTCGAACAGAAAGATCATATTATCAATTCGTTGTGAAATAAATTAAGTATTCACGGTCTAGACAGACTTGAACAACCTGTTGGTAAAAGACTATAGTGTAATTTTGATTCAGTTGGTCTTTGACTGATAGATTACGCTAATATTTTGTTATTGTATTGAATGGACCACATATAAGATTACTTGAATACTAACCGATTTAATAATCTAGACCTTCAGTATTTGATGTGAGGACAATTTAAACTCAATTGAAGTCCTAATAGAAGTCCTAATTCCTTCAAACTCAATTGCCTTCTAGAAGACTCCATGTCTTCCTAACCTTGGTAATATTCTAGAATGTATTAGATCCTTTTACTTAGGAAAATTCTAGAAGACAATTTAATTTCTTCTTCTTATTTGAATAAATAATAAAACACTTTACTAGAGTAATATTCTTGATCTCCCCATTTAACTTCAATTTACAAATAAATTCGCCCCTTCATATCAATTAATTTATTTGATCGATTTATCTCCATATGTTAAGATATAACGTTCATTGATTAATTTAATCACTGACAATATAACTAATCAATTTCTTTTATTTATTATCTGGAATTAGTACCACTCAATTCTTACTTATTATGTTAGAAATTAATCCGCCTGCAGGGCTTAACATAATAAATCTTTCCTGAGCAATTTAGGGGACGCTATTAACCTTGCAGAACGGAACATAGTGATTGTAAACAATTTTAACAGCACATCATATAAACGTCATCATTTACCAAAATACCGAGTATATCATCCTAACTAAAATAAGAATCACCCTTGGTAAATCATATAAATAAGTGATGAGTGCATATTCCTGTTTATTATCTTACGGCTTAAGAGAGCACATTACTTACTGAGGTCTAGATTATTTACTTGGTCAGCATTCAAATAATCTTCTGCTCCATGGTCCATTCAATACATACAAAGTACTAGTGTAATTTATCATTCAAAAGACCAACTAAATCAAAATAACACTACAACTTTTACCAAAAGATTGTTCAATTATGTCTAGACTATGAATTAATTATTTATATTTTACAAGGAACTGATAATATGATCTTTCTATTCGACACATCAAACCATAGTATCTACAATGTAAAATAAAGGAACTTATGCTGACATAAATAAATAAACTGCACCATACATACTTGACTAAAACACAATTCTCATTCAAAATGATTTGCTCAGAAAGTGAAAGCTGAGCTTTTATAGTATACCCTAACACCGACCACTGTTGACCACCAAGCATCGCCCGAAGCAACTCGCTCCCATGCGTCCTACTCCCAATGACCCACTCCCGCTGTTGTACACCTGAGACCAGCGACATCCTCGCGACCCACTCCCATCCAGCGACCCGCATCGACCTATGCGCGACCAACTGTAGACGTTGGCAGTCACTTGATGCCATCCGCACACCAGGGGCGACCCGCTATGACCTCATCCGACCCAAGCGACTCCAGGCAACTCCAAGATGTCTAACGAGGCAATTTATGGTGATTATAAAATCAGACAATATGCCGTAAATTTTCTGCGGTAAACCTTAGATCTACTATTTTGTAGATTAATTCGTGACTAGCACAATTACGATGATCCTCATAGATACCAACAAATGCGGCGGTGAAAGCTTGGACCCTTCGACTCCATCGTCTACCTTGATAGCAAAAAGTTCGCAACCACATTTCCACAATTTTTTTTTCATATTTTTCAAGCTTGTTTCCTTGATGCCTTTGTTGGTTTTGGTTGTCAATGCGACCAACCTATCTCCCGAACGGAACTCCATCTTCCAGACCTCATAATAACAGTGATCGGTCCTAAGTCTTCCAACCATTGCACCGCCAGTACCACATTGGGACCTACTAAGGGCAACACGTAAAGATCGGCCTTCAAGTCAAGCCCTGCAGTTTGACCCTTTTGTCATTGCAGGAGCACCAGAGAAACCACAAGATCAAAATCGGGATAAGGTGGAGGAGGTGGAACTTGCCGGTCGAAAGCTGAACCTGTGGGAGAGAACGATCTGAATGTTTTCGGAGGAAATGTGAGGGATAACAGTGATGGAGTAAAAGTTTTCTCACACTACTGACGCAACAGGGCCCGGGAAGAAAAAAGTTGGGAATGGATTCCATAATGGGGGCTTTAATTCGTGTATCATGTATTTATATTGTTTATGAAAACCTGCACTAAACGGCCTTGGTGAACACAAAAGATTTTTGTGCTCGAAAGAGCGCTTTTTGTTATATCTTATTGTTTAATGAAATCAACGATGATTACATATGCTATTTAAAATGGAGGAATACCAATCCTAGGAAAAGATAAATTATAATCCTAAAGAAAGTCAATATCTATAGCCCCAGAATTACCAAAATTATCAAATACCTATGCTAACTAGGAATATAATTATCATAATAATAGCTAAACTAAGAAACTTGGCCGACATGCCCCTCAAGACTTGCCATGCATGCTTGCTCCTCAAGCCTCATTTGCATCACCATGTTAGACCATCTCAAATGGGAGTTGTTAACTGATAAAAAATAAGAGAAATGTTATTGGTACATATCATTGTACATATGGGTGTACATAACACTCGCATTGAGTGGGACCTACCAAAAATAAAAGATCAAGTGGACCTCATCCATGAGAGTGTTATGTACACTTCTATGTACATTTATTATGTACTTGTAGCATTTTTCAAAAAATAATGGTACATCATCAATTTAGATAATGTCTTTTTTTTTATTCACTCCTCGAATGGCTCATTTTTTAAATGCATTGTTCTACTAGTACAACATCCGTGTATTACACAGGTGCTTGTTAATTTTTTTTAATTTAAAATTAATGAGAAAAAGTAGTTTGAAAATTTAAATACCTTTTATAAAAATAAATATATTATTATATATTTATTATGATACTTTTTATTTGTGCGACTTACTTGTGTTATATTATACTAATTTTTTAACTTACAATATATAACTACATTAAATATAAATATATCAATTGAGAAATAATTTTATTTTTCTAATGAATTTTGATAAATATTATAATTTTTTATTATTATAAAGATAAATATAATTTATTTATTTTATATATACAATATGGATGTCAACATGAAGATCATC